TAGTACATAAAGCTCCCTATACATGTACATGTATGTTAGTTAATAGCGTTTCATTTTCAAGCGGTTTTAATGTGTATTGTTAAAAAGCTATTGTTAATGGTGACTCAATCATATTGTGTTCATTAGTATGTGTTAGCAAAAATTATTGTCTCCTTATTGTGTTTTTAATAAACAATTTTTTAAATTATTTAGATATACATGTACATCATTAGTATTTATTATTATCATCATTATTATTATTATTATTATTATTATTATTATTAGGTGATGAAGTTCAGTGTTAGCCCTGTGGTACGTGTTGCAGTTGAGGCCAAGAACCCGTCGGACCTTCCCAAACTTGTTGAAGGACTCAAACGTCTAGCAAAGTCCGACCCTATGGTCCAAGTAAGAACCAATAATAATAATAATAATATATATTTTAATATTTTTATTTTCTAATTAATGCCCATTTTCTAATTAATGCCCGTGTAGTGTATGATTGAGGAGAGTGGTGAGCACATCATTGCTGGAGCTGGTGAGCTTCATTTAGAAATATGTCTGAAAGATTTGGAAGAGGATCACGCTTGCATACCACTGAAGGTACAATAATAATTATTTATTAATTGAACAATTTTACTGAACTAATAAGATCATTATATAATGTATTTTTTTATTCATAAAATGATTATTTTAATTTTATTTTTTATTGTAGAAATCTGATCCTGTTGTGTCGTATCGTGAGACGGTTTCAGCCGAGAGTTCAATAATGTGTCTATCAAAATCGCCTAACAAGCACAACAGGTTGTTCATGAAGTGCTGTCCATTCCCTGATGGACTGGCTGAAGATATTGACAAGGTACAGTAATGCTTTAAATTATCATTATTATCATTGTTATTATTATTGTTATTATCATCACTATTGTTATTATCAGCCTAACAGAAATGATTGTTATTATTATTATTTATTATTATTATTATAAAAGAAAGTATAATGGGTCAGATATTATAGGTACATAGATTAATTTTGTTGATCAATTAGATTATTATTATTATTTATTACTATAATTAGCAGAAAATTTACTGCATTGCATTAATTGACCTGTTAGCTCACATTAATTTCAATACAAACTACATGTACTTCTTTCTTTTTAAAAAAATGTGTCTTTATTTTGTATTCATTTTACTTGTATTTGTATTCTTATTATTATCCTAGGGTGATGTTAATAATAAACAGGATCCTAAAGCTCGGGCTCGGTACTTGTGTGAGAAGTATGAATGGGATGCGACTGAGTCCAGGAAGGTTTGGTGCTTTGGCCCTGAGACGACTGGCCCTAATATGCTCATTGATGTCACTAAAGGAGTGCAGTACTTGAATGAGATTAAGGACAGTGTTGTAGCTGGATTCCAATGGGCTACTAAAGAGGTATAGTAATTGGAAAACTGTGGGCTATAATAGTACAGGGATTTTTTCAGATTTTGCTTATTTTTAAAATGGCCGCAACTCCAAAAATTGCAGTATGAATTGGTTCAAACTTTCTACACAGCATAAGGACATCAATATGTATCAGAAATTGTAATAAAAATTTGAGGTGATTTCGGAGCCATTTTTTGAAAAAACCATGGGTGATAGTACAGGGCATTTTTTAGATTTTTGTTCATTTTTTTAAATGGCCATAACTTGAAAAATTGCAGCCGGAATTAGCTCAAACTTTCTGCATAGTATAAGGACATCGATATGTATCAGAAAATGTAATAAAAATTGTTGGTGATTTCAGAGCCATTTTTTAGAAAAACCATTGGCTATAGTGTAGAGATTTTTATCAGATTTTTGCTTATTTTTTAAAATGGTCCTAACTCGACAAATTGCAATTGGAATTGATTCAAACTTTCTATATAGGATAAGGACATCAATATGTATCAGAAAATTTAATAAAACTTATTGGGATTTTTTAGTCATTTTTCAGAAAAACCATGGGCTATAGTGTATTTTCATTTTAACTTTTCCCTTCTCCCCCCTCCTCCTCCTCCTCCTCAGGGTGTATTGTGTGAAGAGAACATGAGAGGTGTTAGGTTCAACATTCATGACGTGACCCTCCATACTGATGCCATCCATCGTGGAGGTGGTCAGATCATTCCCACGGCTCGTCGTGTGCTCTATGCCTGTGTACTCACTGCTGAGCCACGCCTACTGGAACCAGTCTATCTAGTTGAAATACAGGTATGACTAGTTTTGAATTACTAATAAAATTTCTTATAATATTGAGTGCAACAGTAACATGCTTTAATTTATTATTATTTTGTACAAATTTCTCAATATTTTTTAAATTTTAAAATTGTTGTTTTTCTAGTGTCCTGAAGTTGCTGTTGGTGGTATTTATGGTGTGTTGAACAGGAGGCGTGGTCACGTGTTTGAGGAGTCT